AATAGTAAAACTGTCTTAATGAATTAACAATTTTCAATCTCGTTACATCATTGTTAACCTTCCACGGTGTAACACCCGAAATTTTTAGAATAAAAGTTTTTTTATGTTATATTTTTATATTTTGAAAATTTAGGACTAAAATGAAATAAGTTTTAAACTTTATTTTATTTGGGTCAAATAATTAAGTATCGATAGAACGAGATTTTAAATATCAATATTAGACTCTTTTTGTCACTTATAATTAATTAGAACTCTTCGACTCAATAAAAAGTTTATTTAGATAAGTTAGACCTAAGATATTGAAATTTATAGAAGTTATTATTGTCAGTATTTAATTTAAATTACATATCCCAACATTTAAAATTTTGGTTGCCACGTGTGCTTTAGATTGAGCGCACACAAATTCTCATATGTATACATATATGACTAGGAAGCCCCCCGATGCATAGTCCAATGGTGCAAAGGACAGAAGTAAGGTTATCTCACGCCTTGCTGGCAGCCGCAGTGTGAGGGTTCGATTCCTGAGACATGGAATTAGACTCCTTGTAGGCGCAATATATAGACAGCTCTTGTTTCCTGACCTGTTGGAGCACATTTCGCGATTTACCTCCCTCACAAAGTCCTATAGACGGGGCCGTGAAGGCCCTCAAGATTGAGGTTCAATTTTTTTTTTTTTACACATGACTAGGAAAATCATTTTTAAGCCAATCCTAATGCTAGTACACTTATAAAATAAAACCTCTTTCCATACAAATGCATTAGCAATACGTGTCCTCTCCAAGCTGCATAGAAATACAATTGTTATCCTTGGTACTAGACCCTATATATAGAGTAAAGTTCCCTGCACAGACCCCTTTGTACAGGGTCTCTCACATGGAGGTGGACCTCATGTGTGAATTCCACTCCCATGTGTGTGCATCTATACAGATCCTGTGCAAATGGGTCTGTGCAAATAGTACAACTGCTATATATATATAATTTATGAATGAATTGTCAATGGATTTTTGGAGTTCTTCAAAAAGAAATATGAAATCCTTCGAGAATTTAAGAGGACCAAAAATGGATATGTCGCTTTGTCACCCATATATTCTATAAGGGAAGAGTGATATGAAGAATATAATTTATTGTTACATAATTGTCTATGAACACTGTAAATATCTTACTGGATATTTTTAAATACTCACTATTG